TTATGGTGTTGTCTATTGGGAGAGTCTCCCGTTCAACCTTGAAGGCTTGGCTTCTGGAATTGTGAGTTACCATGGATGCTCTTAAGCGCCATGACAAACTGAGACAGTTTTTCTCCCTGCTTTTTCGATTCTAGTTTATGAGTTCCAATATAACGTTCTGCAGACGTTTTTCTGAATCTGATTTCAGTCTTAAAAACATCTCGTGTGGCCTTCTATGTAGGAATTCTCCATGCTCAACGCTTCGATTTCATCTTGATCATAGCTTGATGTCGTTGCGTAAACGGCGAAAGTGATGAAAGGTTTTAATCCACATCTCTATAATCGTTGAGGTCCGATTTGAGTTGTTAGTTGTCCGAATTAATGAATGAATGTTCATAGCCAAATCGTGTTGACGAAACTCCGACTCCTCTGACTCCTCTACTTTCGCGTGTTCCGAAGAACAGTTCTTCTCCGGTGTCATAGAAGGCGACGAATGAGTGGTGTCGTCCCGTCCCAGCCAGTCCGATGACCTCGTACCTATTCCTCCATGCATGATCAAGTTTTTCTATCGAGGACTAAAATGCAAGTGAGCGCCCGTTGTAGGTGCATGTGCAGGCGCGCATGGCGTAGTGGTCGGAGAGGCCCTGTGATACCACACATGGTCGACCCTCACACCTGTGGCCCACCAAGTCCTCCATCCTTCCGGCGTCGGCAAATTGCTACCAGATTTGTCTGGGAGCATAGCAGCACTGGCTCGATACATCGGTAGGCCAACGCGAGTTATTGTTAAGGCCAGATATGCATTCAATCACCTCCAAACGATGCTTAGTGAAATCGAATGCAGAGTGCATCCTTCATCAGGGATTGGTCAACGCCGAGAGCTTTATCCTTTATTCTTTTATAGCTGTTAGAAAAGTCACAACTTCGCTTGTAATCCCATTCTCTTGGTTTTAACGGGCGTTGGGGAAATTTCTATGTCCTAACTTTTTTCTAGTTCTCGAAGTAAAATAAGATAGAGGAAATAAAGTTGGGTATTGATACCCATGGAATCTTCTTTATGTTCAATACAGAAGACTTCTGTGAATAGCAGAAAGTATGTTAAAAGTGAAAAGGTAGAAAGTCTGAAAAATTATCGATTAGTCTTTCCTGATATCAAATGTCACAATTTTCCTCGAAACAATTTGTGCTCACTTCACCTTGTCCTCAGTAAATCTGTCTTTCAGTTTCGTCTTTTTCTAATTTTTGATTGGTCATTTCGGTAGAAGATTTTTTGTATCTGTGTATTTTTGAGACTTCACAGGTTTTCTGGGATGGAATAAGACCGACGACACTTTAAAGTTTTGAGATCTCTTCCTTCAACATTGTCGCCATACTGGTCAACAACATCCCCATTTTGTTTATTAACCATTTGACTTTATTTTCAGAACCAACTCCACCGGTGGCACCAAATCACAGTAAGTGCTCCATTCCTTTTCTAAACCTTTTTTCCTTTAAGACCTTTCACTTTGCTTTTGTGGCTTTGCACTTTTCACTACTGGCTTTCCATTCAATTTTCTCGTTATTTGCATAATGAGGTGAGATAAAATCTTTCATCTTGTACTGGAAATTCAACCCAGTGATAGGCAATTTCTAGTGGTGAATGCCCTTTCTCATCAACTCGCACTGAAGTGATAGAGGGTTTATTGCATAGGATTTATAGAAGTTATAAGTTATTAGGGGGAGCGCATGTGGTGCAATCGTGGGAAACGCCCTGCAACACACACATATGATCGATCCCAGCGCTCGTGGCTCACCAAACCTATCATCCCTCCGGGGTAGGTAAATTGGTACCAGGCTTATCCGAGAGCATATCAGCACTGGTTCGTACATCGGTATGCGACCGCGAATCATTGTTAAAGGGAAATATGCATTCAATCACTTCCAACGAAACTTAATGAAATTGAATGCACGGCTCATCCCTCAGAGATTGATCAGCCATGAGTTTTATCCTTTCATCCTTTATAGAAGTTATACCTGCGACCCTGGCAGGACCTTCCCTGGCATACTTTCTCAACGGTTTACCGCCTAATCGTGGCTGGGAGGTGTTCTTGGGTGTTGGACTGCGATGTACAGTGGATTCGTCCCCACGGCAGGGTCTCCCAAGCTGAGAAGGAGTCCGGCGTTTCAAACCAATGCCAGGATCCACCACCCCGTCTTGGTATCAAAGTCGCATGGTGGCAAATCTCCCTCTGATCCACAAGGTCTGCGACTGCCTGTCGTGTTGACCACCTGGGGAAGATTTTGGCCAGACTGTTCTCGGGATTCCACGGAACCACAATGGCTTAACCAGCAAATCTGCGAAAAATGGTGATTAGGGTGGGACCCGCACAACTAGTGAGGACGTGCCGTTCAAATATCAAGCAAGTAAGAAGTTATACCATATCTGGCCATATAAATATGAAGATTGCGCTACTTTGGTGGATGATCAGTGGGTCAAGAATAGTTGTGCTCATCGAACGATTGAATTAATCTGAATGTTATTGCTTAATTAAGTTGTTTGGTTGCCACAAACTGTCTTTCATGACCTACACGAGATTGTTTAACGTACTTGCTGCGTCAGTTTTCAATGGCTAACATTCTTGCAATATTATCTTCCTCAGAGCTGTTTTTCTGCACTTTTTCAAAGCCACCCTGTGTGAACTCCATATAGGTGAACTAACTTCTTAAAAACCTAAATAATCACTAGGGAGACATCTCCAAAAATAGTTTGACCAATCGGCGTGTTTGAAGTGGGAGAGAATATCGAGTGAGTTGACAGCATTCCTAGTGGCCGGTACTTTTTTTGAAAGCATTTAGAGAAGAGATGGAATAACGTGGAAGGTGACCTATTAGGTTTGAAGCCGATTCACGTAAAACCCGTGAATGCCAGTTTTCGCATGCTTCATTTGGCTTTTTCTTCAAACACGGTCTCCTCGAAGTAGTCAATTCTTCTCTTATACCCTTCACTCACTATTGAGAGCAGGTTTACTTTCGTTCCCAAAAATCTCGTGTACGACGAGCGCTAAACTTCAATCTGAGGCATCGAAGCTCGTGATTAGTACTGATATGTGCTACGCATGGATTCTAACCTTTACAATGTTTAGACTGTAAATTCCAGGTACCTTGAAAAAAAAACGAGAACAATTAGTCTAATTACGAATATTATACGTGATGAGTCGTTCCGGTTAAAATGTACTCGTTCCATCTGCGGCGCGCACGATTTCATTTCATCCTTCACCATTTTCTGTTGATTATTCTTCCTCGTAAATTCGAGAAGCGTCCTAGAAACTAGGGATAGTTTCCTTGGACTTCCCAACTTCGAATCTCACTTTCCTAATCTCCATCGCTCCATCAAACGGTTTTTCTTCTTTGTTCGGCAAGAGTCACTTCCATTGTAATTTATTCCAGCAGGTTTTTTTTTGCCATTCAGAAAAGCCCATTCCAAACCATTTATTTTTTTGAAATAACTCTCAATTCCACTATAACGATGTCAGTGAAATCGCACATGCTAATTTCTAGGTCCTCAAATTTCGCAGTGCCGCATCTCATTTTGTTTCCCTACATTCTTGTACTAATTGTAATGATGGTTGTCGCAAAAATCGGCGAAATTTGTCACAAGTAAGTCTAACGTAAGAGTAAAGAAAGGATAAAGCTCTCGGCGTTGATCAACCCCTGAGGGATACGCCATGCCTACGACTTCATTAAGCATCGTTGGAGTTGATTGAATGCATATCTGGTCTTTACTCGTGGTGGCCTACCGATGTATCGAACCAGTGTTGCTATCCCCCAGACAAGTCTAGTACTAATTTGCCGACCCCGGAGGGATGAAAGGCTTAGTGAGCCATGGACGCAGGGATCGATCCTATGTGCGTATTGCAGAGCGCTTCCGACCGCTCCGCCACATGCACCTTAGGCGTATAGGCGTAGGAGTAAGACTTTAATATTGCGTTCCTACTTTATTCCCTGTTTTACTTTATACAACTACTTGAATTTTCGTACTAATCAGCAAACATTTGGCGGTTAAAGGAAGAAGGAATGAGTACCGTCAAATACCAGAAAAATACACTATGGTCACTTTCATTTTTATTTTCCCGCTGGCCAGAAAGGTACATTTCGATGAATCATTGAAAGTCGACTGCAAAGGCTGTGCTGTGCTTTTCGCGCATATTGAGAGCAAGATTATGCTCAAATGACGAAACGAAAGCTTGAATTGAACACCGGAGTGTTTCATTACGAAATGAGATCCGAGAGGCCAGAGCAGCGAATTGAGGGGATCTGCTAGTGTACTTCATTGTAGAATATGAGGGATTAGAAAAATGATATTTTAGTATGCCTTTCTAGTGTATTACATTTATGTTTCACACACTGTTCTATGTGTTTAAGTGACCGACCATCACTTCACTTGGAAATTCTACAAAACCTTCATATTTGGATACTTGGACGGCCTGTCCTCACTGACTGTACGGATTCCAGCATAATCTCCATTTTTCAGAGTTTCGTTGATTTAGCTACTGTGTTTCTCTGGAATCCCGAGGTCAGCCTAGTCAAAGTCTGCCCCAGGTTGTAGGTTGTCACCATCACAGGCAGTCGCAGCCCTTGTGGATCAGAGGAAGATTTGCCACCATACAACTAGTTTGATACCAGGATGGTGGTCAATTCTGGTATTAGTTTATTTTTAGCTGGGCTTCCTGGTGAAAACGCTGGACTCCTTCTCAGGGAAACGAATTCCCCCACTGTACATCGTAGTCCGGCACCCAGGAACACCTCCTAGGCACGATGAGGTGGTAAACCGTTGGGAGGATGAGGCTATTATGCTTACTAAAAAAACAATACTTGCATATAATAACGAAAATATGCATATGTAGACAAGACCGTTTCTTTTAATATCGGCTTAAAAGTCCTCACGTAAACTTTTAATTGTGTCAAGTAGGTTATAAAGATTAAAAAGTCGAAACTTAACAAATTTTCAATTCCTGAAGCCAAGATAGGAACTATTTGCCACGATGCTTTCACTATCTATTTATGTAGTGGTTCGCAAGGTACTATTATGTTATAATGATTTGAAAGCTTATTATTCAGAGAAAGGAACCCGTTTAATGGCAAATATGGCTGGCGATGAGGTGTTGCTAAACTGCACGATTTCACTTGGCAGCGAACAAGCCGAAGATGACGTCATCTGGACTAGGGATGGAAAGGCGATAAATCTTAACAATACCGATAGTGAGTTTTCAGGCTTTTTCATGATAACAGAAGTGACTACAGGTGCAAATTCTTGCAGTGGGATATAATACGGGGTAGGAAATTTTTGTAAATATAGATGAGTCATTAAATCCGTCATCAACTGAATTTTGGTACGGACTTTATTTAAAGCCTTTCCCACTGCCGATAGATAGGTTTGGTTTCAAATCATCCCATCAATTATCCTTTTTTCTCATTAGTCTTGTTCCAGCCCTATTTCCACCAGGTTTTGGTGCCAGATTTATCTGGGAGGGTGAAAAATTGGTTTGATGAATCGGTATGCTATCGCAAGTGTTTTTATCGGCCAAATATGCTTTCACTCAGTCTTGTGATGCTTAATGGAGTCGAGTGCTAGAAGCATCTCTATGATATTGATCAGCAGAAAACGGTTCGCGATCTATGTTTCAAAAGTGGTCCTATCACCTACTGTCGTCGGCTCATCTGGTATTACTTCTGTGGTCGTTCAAGATTCATCTGCAGGGGTGTTAGTAACAAATTAAGCACGGACGAATAGTAATACTCAAATAGCAAGGCAGTGAAACAAGATTGATTCTCATATTACTCATGGTGCAATTAAATTTTCCTGGTGAGGACTACAGCATTATATAAATCGAGAGCAGCGATAGAAAATTGGCTGCTAATTCACTAACCTCCCCCTCTTTGTTAAGTGACAAGTTTTAGAAAGCCCTGTCGTCTTCAGGAAATGGGAGTGGTGAAGAATACCCAGCATCAGGACTTGGAACAACGAATCAGTATTGGGGCGTATATGCTTCTTCCATTTGTCTACCTTCATCAATGTGCAGAACGGTACCGATGCTGATTCTCGAGCGTAGTCCTTTGGAGTGCTTCCTATTTTATACAAATACCTTTGGGTCTATATAATCTCGTATTCTTGTAAGGCAATGATGTAGAAGTGCTACCATGATTGACCAGAGAATATGTTGAGACGTCGAGTACCGGATGCAAGTCGTTGTACAAGCTGGAGGATCCACAAAACAGATTGATACGACCGGGTGGTTACGAACGCGCACAGTGAGGTCGAGATTTGGTTGTATGCCACGTTTGATTGCAATATTGCATTTATAACATATTCGGCCAGGTTCTTTGAATATGTTTACCTTGATGACTTTGATGCATTCAACATATTAATCATGAAATTCGTCCAATGAAATGAAGCTCATGTAGGCGCAAAATTTGACATTTACATAATGAGATTTGCGGGGCGGAGCTGTTCGCCAGTGGTATGGACAATTGAGTATGAAGAGCAATGTGAGTAGTAATGAGATAACATCCACGATTGGTCAGCACGAAATAACGACGTCAGTGGATGTAGGGGAAAGCGTAGAAAGTGCTACTAAACTAGCTGGACGAGACTTACTTCGTATTCAGTTGATCCATATAATTTTAGACTTTTACGGTATCGTACCTCCAAATGTGAATATTGTCAAGTTCCATTTTGGTGCTGCTTCTTAACACTAGGTGGTTGCTACCCGACTAATCTGATTAGCGTCTAATTAGGTTGGACCATCTGCCGTTTCCGATTCGTGTTCTACCAATCCGAAAATAACGATTCAATTAAAACATCAATCAGTAAATGTAATACCTTTTTAGCAGACTTTCTGTGTATGTCAACTACTAGTTTAAAAACAGCTAGAGTGATCGAATGACCTATCCGTGTACTAGAAGACGGCAAGCCGGTGCGGATGTTTTCACCTACTTCTCTCTTGACTGTTCCCTACTTACTCGCCTATGTGCAGCTCAAAATGGCACCTTGTTATTACTTTAGACTATTATGATCTAGTTTTCTTTTTACAACCTTTTCCAAGCTCTCGAGAAGATCCTAAGTCAAAAAATTTAGCTGCGTATATTGAATATAGGTGGTATCTGTAAATTTTGTAAGAGGTAGTTTCTTTAGGCATGTGAAAATATTCGTAGTTGTAGCTGCAGTAAGCAGTATTCTCGTACATAAGTATACTTTCTCAAAAATCTTCATTATCACGACTGGTATGAAAATCGTCGACGTTCCGACGCTCGGAATGCGGATAAAAACAAAAGGATGGAGCACTTGGCGTTGATCAATCCTTGATGGATGGGCAATGCGTTCGACTTCATTAAGCATCGTTGGAAGTAATTGAATGCATGTATGGTCTTTACAATAACTCGCGGTGGCTTACCGATGTATCGGGCCAATGATACTATCCTCCCAGAGAGGTTTTGTAACAAATTTTCGACCAGGGACGAAAGGCTTTGGGAGCCTAGGGCGTGGGTACCGATCTCATGTTTGTACCACGCTCGCCTACGACCACTTCACCACATTTGCCCTTTGCGTCGCTCGGACAATGAGGGTTCCTGATGACTAACAATTGCTGGCATAAGCAGTTCAACTATTTTTGCTCTTTCTTGATTACTATAGTCTGTATCTACTATAGTGAAAGAGGGAAGAAGACATAAAACACTACAAAGGTTCTGCCACTATGTTTTTGATACGTCAGATTAACTACCCGTATGGTCATTGAAGACATTATTGATGCTGCAGTGAATGATCATTTTTGCTTAGCTTTACAGATTTTTAAATTGTGTAAATAAACAGTCTTAATGCAGAGAATCATCGCACACTCAAAGAACTTTGTGCTGAATGAGTGGAGTTGAGTTGTCTAAACAGCGATTAAAATCATAAAAATCAATCCGTAGAGATTTAAAGTGTTATGTCTTTATTTGCGATTGATCTTAATAGAATAACTGAAGAAGAACAGATTTTCTTGTTCCTACGGCATTGTTCCTGCTATTTCATCTTCTGCGGCTTAAGCCAGTAATACTAGCAGGGAGCATTTTTAAAAGCAATTCTTCGGCTGTAGATGAGGCGTAGACATGCAGGCAGTATTTTCTTACTTATAGGACTGATGGAACAATGATGGTCGTGTGGCGACACAGCGAAAATGCTTCGATTTCAGAGTACATCTGGAAAGTGAAGCGGTCTGCCGGCGTCGTTGTGCACACCGTGCGAATCCAACGGGCTACCATGGAGGATGACGGCGACTACGCTTGCGAGAGCCGATATCAGCGAGCCAGTCAGATCGTACATGTGAACAGTGCGTTCGTTGGCTTTTTTTTCTCTTTGAACAACCCAAGATTGGAATTTTTCTGCTTACCTCCTGAATCTATCTAGCTCTATCCGTCCTACCTCAAACATGAAGACCGCGACACAAGCTCATGCAAATGCAAGAAACTACATTTAAGGCGGACTAGATGTCTGGCATGCTTGATTGGTTTCCTCTGAGCGAGTTTTGTCGCGGCTGTCAAAATTGTTCAGTGAACGTTGCTGTCTTCGTTGTCATTGCTGATTTGGAACAACTATATCAAGCCGAGGAAGCATGAAATCCTCTTTTTGAAATCCTCTTGTTATTCTGTGGCATAACTCCTTTCGTTCCACTTACCTCTTTCGAATCTTCTACCTTACTTCGAAAGAACTGGAGACGAACGTGGATGTAACCGATATCGTGTTCCAATCTGAGTCCACCTCTTCGACTGATAAATTATGTTAAGTTATCAATGCATTCCATTGTTTTTACACAAAAAGAAACTTCCTATCACAGTAGTGCACTGCGTTTGTAAATGTCAATGAATTGTGGTCCTGGTGATTCTGACCGGTAACATACTTTAGCGTACACGGTGATACGTTGAAAGGAAAAGGAAACAAGGTTGAATCTATCGATGAAGACGTGAAATAGAATTTGAGCACCTCCCCGCTAGATTTATTTTACTAAGTAGAGGACGAAATTCGCAATGAAAAACCTTTCTGCAAATTTGTTGCTGGACAGTTCAATGCTAGTATGGAAAACGAAAATGAGGAGGAATAGAGGGTACAGGCCTAGGTTTGGAATCGGAGGTTGTAACGAAATTGGAAGCATTCTCGCTCGTCTTTTGTTTACATCGTCTTGTTTTTTCTTGCAGGAGTACTGGTATGAGTATAAGAAGAAGGCAAAAGGGAGTTTTAACATTTATTTTCTGCCCATTCTTCGCCTACATCAGGACACGATGTGGAACGGATTCTAAGATATAAGCAGAAGTCGGAGCCTTAGTTGGGCTTCGAACCCGTGATTACGCTTGCTGGGGCTCACGCGCAATCCACCACACTAACCGACACCTTTACTTCGCTTTTCTTCAGTCGATTTTCACACCTCACATCATTCTCGTTGACGGATGGTTGCTGGTAGTACCGATGGAGTAGAAACGGAAACAATAGCATTCAGCACATGCGGGCCCGGTAAGAGCAATCGTGCGTTCGAAGCCCAGATGGCGTTCCGATTTTTCTTCATATCTCATCGTTCCTTTAAAAGGTAGCTCAAAAATAACCAATCCGAAGAACTATCGTCAGCAACTTCACAAATGTAACGTGTTACTTTCAGCATGAAGTGCAGACAGGATTTTCACCACCTTTCGCTGCCGCAAAGAAATGTAACAAGAAAGAAAATCTCCGCCAGCTTTTACGTTTTACATCTGCCGCGTTTATTTTCGAATTTATTGTTGGAGAAAAGCTACGTAGCGGTTTTTCTGAAGTACCAGTTATGTCAACAGATTGACGACAGCCGCAACTGCATGGCCGGATATCATGAACGGCTTCTTTCTCATTGAGAACCATAAATTTCCCTGAAAGGGTTCCGAGCCTTTAGAGACCTTGCGGTCGGTCGTTTTGTCAGAATACATGTAGTAGACCAAGTCTATTTTGGCGTAACCGTTTTTCTTTCCCAAGATTTTCACGGTTTTCAAAGAGGGCTAAGAGGTTATCGCCATATATACACATGTCCTAATGTATCCTTCTTTATTCTACCTTTGAAATGAGAGTATTTTAGAAGCTGAAGCACAACGGAGTACATCGCGATCACGATTCGGCTTATTTTCTAGTTTTTTCACTTTTTCAATTGTTGCCCTCCGGATTTTATGACATGAATTTCGCCTCCTTTTCGCTTCACTCCTCCTTCACTCAACGTAATCGTTAGTAAACAGTTTGAATTCCCTATATTGCTCTTAAAGGTTGTATACTGTCAGTTAAACTTTTGAGATTAAATCTTTTACAATACTCTTTATGGGCATGCATAGCGCAGTGGTCGGTGGCGTCTTGCAATACACACTTGCTCGCTCCCGCGCTCAAGGTTCGCCAAGCCTTCCATCCCTCTGGGACCGGCAAATTGGTACTGGCTTCTCTGGGGGACAGCAGCACTGGCTCGACGATAGGCCACCGCGAGTTATTCTAAAGGCCAGATATGCATTCAATGTCTTCTAGCGATGCTTAATGAAGTCGAGTCCATGGCGCATCCTTTAAGGATTGATCAAAGCTGAGAGCTTTATCTTTTTGAACTGTACTCTATGCATTCCATTTATACCATCTGTTCCTGAAGACTTCGATAACTGCAAGAGGGACGAATGGAATCATAGCAGAGGACATTTTCCTTTCTCAAATCTGTTCAGATCTTTCATTATTTGATAAATCAATTCATTATTTATGTAGGCGTTCTTGTCATCATTCAGTGTTATTGCAATGCACATGTAAATATCTACATATATCTCAGGTTCACTTTTTGAGACTGATTGATCACGGCTTCATTTTTTGGGACAAGTGGTTTATTAGGTCCATGGACACCAAAATTAATGCAATTTAAATTGCTAGGAATTTAAACGTCTTTTGAAGTTCTATGCTTCGTTTTCTTCTTCACTCTCAATGCATTGTGTGGCTGTGAAACTGGAATGTCTAATGAATTTGTATCACCTCATAGTACGTGTATCTATGAAAAGCACATATTACATTCAGTAATAAAGTAATTTTGTCAACGTTGGGCGGGAGGATTTATAACTAACAAGTCGAGAACGTGTTCCGAGTGAAACGATGCCGTCGTACTTCTATTAACCCATTCGCTACACGAGCATTCTCTCATCGGCTGTGGACTTTCTGGTTTGTTGGCAATAAAAAATATCTTTCTTGTAATTAGATGACTTGAGGGGTTGTAAAGATGGAAAGATTGTAGAAGAGGCTTTGCTCTGTCGTTCTAAGCTATGAATGACATCTATGCTTCCATCTATTGTGTGTTACAATTATCCACTTTGCGGGTAGAGCAGTGCTAGTGATGTCGACTGTTATGAGCTCAGTGCGAGTTACATCCCGCAAAGAACTCGCCGAGCCTCTCATCCTTACGGTTTGGAGAAATTGGTGCCGGACAAATCTGGGAAAAGCCCACTGTCTGCAATCCAAGTGAGGACACTGAAGCCGTGATATCCTAGGATTCCAAGGAGAATCAACTCGACCAACATCGATTTCCCTAGTGACAATTTTGAAGACCTCCATGGATTGTTATGCTAGCACGAGGCTGATGTAGATGCCTATTCGGCTAACGTTCCGGCGTCTTTGTCTCCATCTGAGGTGATATAGTAACTATTCCTTAAATAGTTCCTATTCTCTATAATATCACATGTTTCCTATACTAACTATTTGCTTATAACTATCTCAAATCTCAATGTTTTAACGTTTTGTTTTCTGCCTTCTATAATTTTCATGGCAGGTTACTAAGCGAAATACAACCACAATGTTGCTGAGATATTTGCAAAACTCTGGACCGCAGGTGTCTATGGTGGGGAACGAACGCGCTATTATCCTTTCCGGGGAGTAACGCGTTCACCACCACACCATGCGGGTCCTTTGTTTCGCACGTCTCTCAGCTATTTCTATCGATCTTTTTGCCACGGCAATCACCCGTCAGCGGGGTTGATCTGGGGAGCGCAAATCGGCATAGAGCCCAGTTAAGCTATGGCTGTAGTTGAAATCACAATGTTTTAACGTTTTGTTTTCTGCCTTCTATAATTTTCATGGCAGGTTACTAAGCGAAATACAACCACAATGTTGCTGAGATATTTGCAAAACTCTGGACCGCAGGTGTCTATGGTGGGGAACGAACGCGCTATTATCCTTTCCGGGGAGTAACGCGTTGTGGTTGTATTTCGCTTAGTAACCTGCCATGAAAATTATAGAAGGCAGAAAACAAAACGTTAAAACATTGTGATTTCAACTACAGCCATAGCTTAACTGGGCTCTATGCCGATTTGCGCTCCCCAGATCAACCCCGCTGACGGGTGATTGCTGTGGCAAAAAGATCGATAGAAATAGCTGAGAGACGTGCGAAACAAAGGACCCGCATGGTGTGGTGGTGAACGCGTTACTCCCCGGAAAGGATAATAGCGCGTTCGTTCCCCACCATAGACACCTGCGGTCCAGAGTTTTGCAAATATCTCAGCAACATTGTGGTTGTATTTCGCTTAGTAACCTGCCATGAAAATTATAGAAGGCAGAAAACAAAACGTTAAAACATTGTGATTTCAACTACAGCCATAGCTTAACTGGGCTCTATGCCGATTTGCGCTCCCCAGATCAACCCCGCTGACGGGTGATTGCCGTGGCAAAAAGATCGATAGAAATAGCTGAGAGACGTGCGAAACAAAGGACCCGCATGGTGTGGTGGTGAACGCGTTACTCCCCGGAAAGGATAATAGCGCGTTCGTTCCCCACCATAGACACCTGCGGTCCAGAGTTTTGCAAATATCTCAGCAACATTGTGGTTGTATTTCGCTTAGTAACCTGCCATGAAAATTATAGAAGGCAGAAAACAAAACGTTAAAACATTGTGATTTCAACTACAGCCATAGCTTAACTGGGCTCTATGCCGATTTGCGCTCCCCAGATCAACCCCGCTGACGGGTGATTGCTGTGGCAAAAAGATCGATAGAAATAGCTGAGAGATGTGCGAAACAAAGGACCCGCATGGTGTGGTGATGAACGCGTTACTCCCCGGAAAGGATAATAGCGCGTTCGTTCCCCACCATAGACACCTGCGGTCCAGAGTTTTGCAAATATCTCAGCAACATTGTGGTTGTATCTCAAATCTATCCATTCATAATGTATAAGTCCTTAGACGGTTTCCACATGAACTTCCACTAGAAGCCTTTGTACAAGCTATTTTATCTCTTTCACATGACGTTTTGATAAGCCTTTGCGTTGTTTTTATATAACCTTTTATACGAGCTATTCCCTCGCTATCTGATCAAGTTCTATGTTGACCAAGCCCCTGGCAATACCGTCTTATCTGATGTACTTCTCCGCATGTACCGTGTCATGCCTTGAAT